TTCCACAAACATAGCTTCTCTCGCCACCTCTTCCGCAGTCTCGGAGAAAACGACTGAGGCTGCGGCGGCACTGAAGGCACCGGCAAAGGAAACACACGGCTATCGCTGAAACTCAAGCCATGCATAAAATCGCCATGGAAAAGATCATGCAGGGCATCATCAGCACACCCTCGGTCTGGACCCTGCTTCTTTCGAGGGCTGCCCACTAGTCCCCCTGAGTGGCGGCCTTGCCGCCTGCACCCTTCTTCTTCTCCTTGCCTTTGCCGTTGCCACCTTTGGCGCCAGCCTTGCCACCGCCACTGCCGCCGCTTCCATGAGAAGCGCTGCCCTGGGCCCTGGCGCGCTCTCGGCGCTTGTGTTCCGACTGACTGTAGGAAGCCGCTTGGGCGACGAGCCAACTCGGCGCCACATCTGTCGAAAAGGAAGAAGGCTTAATAGCCAGCATGCTCTGCGCAGCATCACGATCTCCCGTCCGGCGTTCATGGATCCAAGCTGCCAGGCGGCGCAACGCCACCTCGCAGGTATCATCTTGAGCGATGATGCTCAAGACCTTCGACTGAGAAGATCCACCCTCCCTGGCCTTGAAATCGACCAGAGTCGCCACGTTGAACAGGTCTACGTAGCGCGCAGACTGCCTCTGCTCAACGCTGAACATGCTGTTGACCCAATCTCGCACGCAACGAACGCCCGACGCTTTCATGGAGGAGTAGATCTCCGGCCCTGCTCGCTTGAGGTCCGGCGGCAGCGCCGCCTCCCAGCTCTCGGGGCCATCTTCGTCTTCCCCCCAGGCTATGCCCTCCTGAGCTCTGAACGCATCCAGGGAATGCGCAACAGCCCCCGCAGTGGAAAGCTCTTCCAGCTTTTCCTTCAGCTCCTTGAACCTCGGCGGGGAGATAGCCTTGAGAAAGCAACAGGGCCTTCAACCGCTGCTCAAGAGGCTCCAAGAGCCCCAACTCTTGCCAGAACGACTTCGTCCAGGCCGGGAGCAAAGCCGACCGTCCGTGCCACAACACCAGTAGCTCTTTCACTTTCTTGGCTTGCTCGAGCATGCGCGTTTGCCCCTGCAGAGGGGCGTAAGAGACTCCTTCTGCGCCTTTGTCACTCGTATTCCCCGCTTCCTGGGAAGAGGAGTCTCTCCCAGCGTCTTTCCCAGTTGAGCTTGAAGCAGCTCTCTCACACTTGAGGGCTCAACGTCGCTCAAGGCGACCGGGTTCACGTCCTCCAGGACAACACCTTGCACCAGGGAGCCTCCGGCCAGGCAGACCGTCAGCACTCCGCCTTGTCGGCTTTCCACCACTCCAAAACACCAGTTCAACTCGGGCCTCAGCTTGCACTCTTTGAACTGGACCACAGTGCCCACAGTAGGAACAACACTGAGCTGGCGAAGGGTGCTTGGCACTGCTTCAGCAGCTTGTCGTGTAACTCCAGGACCAGTGCGCTCGCACTCGCGCCCCACAAAGGGAGCGCGCCTTTGGAGTTCCAGGTCAGCTCCCCAACGGCGCCATGTCTCACCAGCTAGCTGTTCCTACCACACTCCAGAGCAGTGAGCGCCCGCTCATGGACACCCAGAACGTGCTCAACAGCAGCACCAGGCGAGCCGACACCGTGCGAGGTGTCACGCCTGCAAGACTCTTCTCTCTCAGGGCCCGCGTGAGTTCTCTCCACGCCTCCCCGTCCTCGCGAAGGCAAGAACCTTAAAAAGGATTGCGTCTGAGCCTCAAGCACGTCCCAGCACATCGCACCACTGTTCTTCGTCTGAAGCGTCCACTTCGTTCCAGCTGAACTAGCTGCTCAACAAACAGCTGGCAGAAACCAACTTGCAAGGCTACTATCTCTTGTTTTACCGTCAGGGCGCCCTGACAGCGAAGTTCTAAGGGCTCTCACCCACTTGTCGAGCTCTGAGTCGCTCCAGCTCCAGGCCAAACAGTGCTTTGAAAACACGCTTCGTAGAGCGTGTCTCGTGCTTCCACCACCTTCACAGCAGCTGGCATGCCCTTTAACTGGGAAAACATTCCTCGTGAGAAAATGCCGCCGCACTGCAAGCAAGCAAGCAACACGAAAAACAAGGTTCCCGGTCTGCGACGAAACTCTTTCAAGCTGCAAAGGAAAATTCATGCTGC